GTATTGTTGTCCATAGTCAGCAAGAAAAGCACACCAGTCATGAAGCTCAATCCAAGTGCTTTCAACATCACTGGAAAGCCAGAGTTATGTCTTTTTCTTACGTGTGATGTTTGTGTATGTCAGGTCATTCCATGGCAGACTCTTGGCACGTGCTTCATAGGAGCATGTCCTGAGGCAGAGGAGCAGTCCTGCTCCTTTGGGACTGAATTTTTCTTCTAGGAAAGGTACTACAGCCATCTCTGAACCCACGTAAGTCAAACCTCCTGAGTTCAGCAGGCCTGCCTGGAGGATCTTGCAAAACTGGGCCTTGGTAGTAAGAGTGAAACCAGTTGAGAGTGGCCCCAGGGAACCATTGCTTATTGCTTTACAGTAGTGTCCAGGACATTCTCCCTGCTTTCCAAGTAGTGGAGATGCCTCATCTGTCTCCCTACCCCACGTTTGTAAGGAATGATGTTCAGTGAGAGCTGATTTGCGACAGCACAGCACTTGTGTACCAGTGAGGAAAGCCTGCAAGTTTCAACGTCAAGCCCATGACTAAATCACTCTCCCCTGCTGTCAATTTGGTAATGATCAGTTACTAGTGTAATCTCCAGGCACAGGACTATCCCTCCCTTTCTCTTCAATGCCCTTGAGCCCATCTTTTATGAAGAATTCAGGAAAAATCTTCTCTAGCTAAAATTGATTCTGTAAGGGGGACGGACTAGGCCACAAGTCCAAGTATGAGCAGGCACTAGTCTCCTCTGAGAGCATCATGGAATGCAATGCACCCACCCCACCAGTACCCTTGCCTTTGATAAGTCTGAAAGGGCATTGCTGAGACTTGAAAATTCAGAACAGTGACTACAGAGCAGAAGCAGGGATCCCATCTCCTTCACAGCTGAAGCTCATTGAAATCAGAACAGAGGGAACTCCATGTAGAGCACCAAACAAGTGTGCAATAGACTTCCAGGTACATCACTGCTCATGTACAAAGCCATCAGGTGGCAACAGTTTCATGAACAGGGAAGGAAGGGGGAAGTAAACTTAAGAGGTTTGATTTTGTATTCAGAAACATTCACTATGAAGAGGTTTTAGCAAAACGTCTGTGAAATCTTGGAGCAAAGCTGAGCCATGCCCTGTTCTTTTCAAGAAAAACTTACAAGATGGTTATGGTACATTGACTCCTTGTGGCACTGTGATGAGAGCTCTATTTTCAGTGCTTTCCCTGAAAGCTGCCCCCAGAAGTTTCTTCTCAGAACAGTCTAGCAATGAGCGGTTCTTTTGCTCAGAGCAGGTTAACTGACAGCTTTGCACTTTTGCAAAGGAATTTAAAGGTTGTTAAGAGGACACCCACTGCAGGATCAGGCACATAGTTCAAGGTTTTGTCTCCAAAGGAAGAAGATAAAAACAGGGTGAAAAAATAAGTTAGTCTAGATGTAGTTATACTCCTCCCCTCATCACAGTAGCCAGCAACTGGCACCACAGGTTTGTTTCGTCTCACGAAGCTGGGCACAGCAAATTCATCAAATAGCTCAGTGCTGTTCAAATAAATTCCTTTTGCATGGAAAAACCCTGAGTGTTGTGCCAGGGCAATCCCTTCCTGTGTAAACACTGCTGGTGCTCTTGAGGCAGCAAAGCAAGGCACTACTGGGGAGGCACCTCTCACTAAATCCACATCCAAAATCCACTCTTTTTTCAGTGACCTGAAATGGAGAAATCACCAAGAAAAGGCACCACAGCCACCCTGCTCCCAGGGCTGAACCACTGCCATTATGGGTCTGACAGAGAACCACGGTGAACAATGAATGGTTTCCATTACTACCAGATCACCAGGCTGGCACTTAAGAGACAAAGTAGATGAAAGGTATTGGCACTGTTACTGCTGTACATTTTTCTGGCACCAGGGAGAGAAGGGCAGCAAGGGTTAGTTGCTTAAATCATGGCCATTTTGAGAATCTAACTTCCAACTGCTCTTTTGCTTTGCTGTCAAGTATTGGGTGTTTTCTTGCAGTACACCAGAGATGAAAGTTTTTCCTACTTGGATTTCACCCATCTCTACTCCCAGAAGTACTTTCCATGCTTTGTCCAATGACTCACATGAACACAGCTGTATCAGCAACTGTTTTTTCCCCAAAAACAACTACACTAGAAAAGCTCCTCAGTATACACACTGCAGGGATATCTTTTTGACTCTACTTGTGCAGACTTAATCACAGGAAGATCATCACACATGCAACATGTATTCTACCTACCTACAATGACAGATGAAGACTTCCACAAGAAGTCATGTTAAGTTGCCTGCCAAAACCATCTTCTAGCAGTAGACACTTCATAAAGCAAAATTCACCTTCCTCTCAGGCTGGTAAGTTCTTGGCATGCCAGAGATGTTTCAGTTCTCCGAAAACACCATTCTCATGTTTCTTTGCTCAGATCAAGGTACAATTTATGTCCCGACAGCCCAGAACAGCCATTCAGCATGAAAGACACCTCTACACTGATCTGTGTCTTACGACAGCAGGATGCAGTTAGGATTTTTTCTGGTTATAGACTGTTAAGCATACAGATGTACCAGGAAATCCTAGTCAACAATTTTATCAGTGTTGTCCCTAGACCTTGGAAATATGACAGTCATGAAATCAGTGCTTTTAAACATTTAAAAACCAAATTACTATAATTAGCTCTGAAATTATGTTACTGGCCTAATTCAGGCCTGCTGTTCATTCAGTTTCACATTTTGGAATGGAATAAATAGATCCTGGAAAACAAAGTCCTTTCATTGCTGAATAGATGAGCCACTTCACTGAGTAACTGAGAGCAAAACAGAATGGAGGTGGCTAACATCAGGAAGATTCAGTTCACACACACTGTTTGAGAAACAGCAGTGTCAAAACAAGCACCCAGGTTCACACAAGCTTTGCCATCTCCTCAGTAATCACAGAGCTGAGTCTTATAGTCTGTCAGAAAATTCACACACCTATTGCAGACAGAGATAAAAATCAAAGCTGTGTCAGAGCTATTGAAAGAACAGCTGAATCCAAGAGCACTTGCACGGTAATAATAATAAACATAGAAACATTTAAAACAAAGAATTTTAATAACTTCTCTATAACAAATAATTAATCAAAGAGGCCGAATCCCATGTCATCATCAGATTCTTCTGATTCCTCCTTCTTCTCCTCTTTCTTCTCCTCAGCTGAAGAAAAAAAAAGACCAAGTGAATAGTCAGTATTCACACTGCACCACAGATTTCCAAGATACAAGATTTGGCAGTCTCAGCTCCCCGGCCTACAGGTATTGGAGCCTGCAGGGTTCATCTCATTCCCTTTCAGCAAACAAGTAACACTGAACGGATACAGACATTACTGTTGCAGAAATGTGCTTTACACCACCAAGTCTCTGATTTTTAGTTTTAAGCAAGCCCAATCCTAAGGCAGACAAAGAGCAAATGCTTCTGACTGTCCAAAGGAAAAGTAACTGTTCAGTTGAAGTTTCCATCACTGAACGGCTGAAGTGGAGAAGCCCTGAAACGTTGACTCAGCTGTTAAGTTGTTACCCGAGACAAAAGGAGTTGCCCTGGAGCCACAGCTCTGCACTCTCACTCACCAGCAGCAGGGGCAGCAGCTGCAGCAGGAGCAGCAGAACCCCCTCCAGCTGAGACTGCCACGGCTCCCCCAGCCGGCATGCTGGCAAGCTTACCGTTACCTGAACGGGACACAAGAGAAGGTATTTATTTACACGCTCATCCCAAGCACACAAGTTAGGGGAAATGGAAAAGTGCAGGAAAAAACTGATCCTGTCTCATGGATTGAACCTGTCACTAATCTGCTGAAAGGAGCAAGAGGCTGCATTCATGATAAAGTGTTCTATAAAAAACACTCAGGAGTTTCAAGATTCACAAAGGCTTATCCCAAGAACACTGGCAGCATATTATTAGTAAGTTTTCTTCTGTTCAAAAAGTCCCTGTCTTTCTTCCAAAAGCTGTCATAAAAATAGCAGTGAACACATCCAACTTCACACACCCACATTGTTCTCTAAATACAGCACAGTAGCCCAGAAAGTGATAATGTACCTCAAAAGTAACACTGGCAGCACTGCTTTCTCCTGCTCCTTCTTTTTCTCCTTTAAGGGTAAGGAGAACGCTGAGGGCATAACGGTATCACACTTACAGGCGAGAAAGGGAAAGATCGATTTATTTATGGCAAAGAGGACAGTATTTAAACAAATTCCTCAGCACCCTATGAACCCTATATTGCATCTCCTTTGAGACTTCTGATTTCTGTTTGTATTTGGAAAGGCAGCGAGTTCTCTGGCCTCTTGCCTTTCACATACCAAGGCTCCCTTGGCATTCAAAGGTCACATACACACTATGTTTGCCTGTATTCCAGTTTCTGGGAATCAGTTTCTAAATAATTCCCTGTTACTTCAAGATCTTATTAAACTAGCAAAGTAAACAAACATGTTTCATATGCATGTATGTTCTAAGAAACAATTTATTTAAAGTATTACAGAAAGAGACAGCATAAGTGTGTTGTAACCACAAGTGTAATAGCTCTCTTAGGTCTTTCAAACCACATGGATAGAAATGTCCAGTGCCTGCTCCTGACAGCAAGGCCAGGCAAAGTGCTGGCTACCTTTAAACAAAAATATGCCTGCAAATTCCCTTGTGCCTATACACTTGCAAAATAGTAAAAATTCATTAATCAGAAACCTTTGCACTACCTCAGCTCTGCTTTACTTCAGCCCTACGACCCAGTCAATTCATGTTAAAAGTTCCAGCCTCAGTAAGAGCACAAATTTCTACGGAAATCAGCCCTCAGAGTTCTGTCTCAGGGAAAAGGAAATGCTGGACTCTGAGAGCTCTACAAGACATGTGCACTGGAGGCTTGTGCTCAAGGCAGAGGGTGGAGCTGCACCCCAATGCCAACTGCCTGTTCCTCATGCTTTACATCACTGGGGCACACAAGTGGGTGAAACACAAAACATCTCCTAGAGACCCCAAAGGACAGCTCAGTCTCTTATCAACATGTTCAGAAAACTCCATCATGAGCAGACTTCCAGTAAGCTCATACATGTTTCAGTTCTCCAGTTTAATGTGGTCCACAAGCGAAACCCAGCAGGTACTGGCACTGACCTGCAGGGAATTAGAATGGACCTGATTCCACTCAACCCAGCTGTGATCCACACTGCTGAACAGACAAAGAGTCTGTGACCTGGCAGCAATTCCCTGCTCTCAGGTCTAGGCTATCAAAGGAACAGAGGCAATTACCTGGCTCACTCAGAGACTCTACTTACCCTGGGCAATTACATCTTCAATATTTTTTCCATTCAGCTCACTAATAACCTGTAAGTAAAATTTACAACGTTAGAGTTTCCAAACAGCATAAGAATAACCTACATTTAAACAAGTACTGATAAATCATCATATGCAGTGCCTCCATCCTGCTGCTTATCTAGCTCCAAAATTCCTTACTTTTAAGTACCAGGAACAGAACATTGACATGAAAACTTCAGCTAAGTCTTTAGTACTTTAAGCATTTTCATGAAATCTGTTACTGAACTCATAACTAATCCAGTGAACTTGGAAAAAAGAGGATACAGAAATGTTGTGGAACCAATTAGGAAGCCTCACCAACAGTGTAAGTCACTGAGGGACTGTTTACATTTCTTGCTTAATGGCCCCTGGGAGGCTCTGAAGCACTGGGTTCTGGACCCAAAACCACAGGGTCCCATTCCTAGCTCTACCACATGTTAAAAGCCAAGCTATTGTATCCTTGCCCTGGAACACAGAGTTCCAACTTTAATTTTAGGACCATTGTTGTATAACCAGAGATGACAAAAGCAAAACACAAACTCCAAAACTGTTAAAGCAAGCACTTAAAAATAATGCTCCAGAACTTACTGGTGAGTCCCAGCTACCAGGAGTCAGTGGCCAAATCTGAAGGACTTTAGCAAGAGCTTTTTAACAGGCACCTTCTACTTACACAGAGCATGGGATGTGTGAAACTATGTGCCTGCATGACTGCTCCAGCCAGGAGAAAGGTGCTTCTAAAACTTCCCTACATTTACACAAGCTTAAAATACAGACAACCCAAAAATTAATTATGACCAAAACAGATTCCAGAACAGCTTTCAGAATATCGGAGGATCAAAGAAAGCAATTAATCCATTAAGGTATTAAATCTAAAGGAGCCAAAACCAAAAGACCTGGCATTTAACCAGGAGCTCCACGAGTTCAAACCAACATTCCAAACCATAGTAAGGATGCTGTCAGCTCAGCCAATCCACAGTCTTGTTTGGCCTATGGTAAAATACTGGGAAAATAATTTCTTTTCACTTTTACTTCTCTGGAAACGCTTCACATAGGAATATGTGACAAGTGACAAGATCATTTTATTGGTTCTTGTTTTTTTCCCCCATCGCCAATTAATTCTAGGTCCACAATGCTGAAGATCTATTATATCACAAGAACCATTATAATTAAGATACTCTTTAAAAGTCGTTTTTTAACACAACCACGTTCATATTAATTTCCAAAATCTTCCTATATTTTATCCTCAAATACCTTAATCTCCACATTATGACTTGCATATGTTTCTTGGTGAGGAAACAAATGTTCCTTTGCAGCACACTAAATAAAAATGTACTACTGAGTATCAGGCCTTCAAAAGTGTTAGCTCTGGATCGATACTGACTGAAAAATAAGAAGTGAACCTTCAGTGCAGGCTATGCACCATGTCAGAACATTTTCAGTGCATCCCTATATGCAGCCACCATCTCAATGAGGATGATTAGCCTGAACTACCAAAAGTCAGCAACAACTGACAGACACCTTTGCAGAGGTATTGCACACACTCAATACCTTTGCAGAGGTATTGAGTAAAAAAGCTAGACTTTCAACAAAAGTTGTAAAAACTTATGATTGGCCCAGCAGTGTTTAGAATTCGCACTGGTAAGGATCACCAAATGTCTGAATAGCATAAGAGTACATCAATAGGGAGGCAACGGGAACACTGAAGCCAAGGATAGAGCTCCAAAGTCTAGTGCTGGCTGGGACATGTGGAATAAAGAGGCAACGCCACCTTGTTCATGCGTTCATCGTCCGTCTCGATGCCGACGCTGTCGAGGATCTTTTTCAAGTCCTTGGACGTGGGGGACTCGTTGCCCCCGAGCACGGCGAGCAGGTAAGCAGCGACGTAACGCATCCTGCAAGAGGAGAGGAGAGTTTCAGCACGGCCGAGTTCCGCGGGCTCGGAGAGAGCCCATCCCTGCTCCCTCCGAGCCACAATCCTGCGGCTCCGCTTCCAAAGGCGGGCCCGTGGCCAGCGAGGCCACGCTGCGCAGGCTGTGCCGGCACGGGGCCCTCCCGCGGGCGGCCCGCACACGTTCCCGCCCGCGCCGGCACCGCACACCTCTCCCGACACGAAGCAGTAACGCGGCACTGCCGATCTGGCGTCCGCCTCAGCCCGTCCCGTGCCTCCGCCCGTCCCGTGCCTCCGCCAGCCCCGGCCCAGGCGCAGGCCGGGAGAGCACATGGCCGCCGTTCTCCCCTCCTGCCCCCCCACACCCTCCCTCCAGCCCGAGTGATCTCGCCCGAGCCCCGCGGCCGCGGCGGGGCTGGCGCGCGCGGGCCAGACGGCACCACTGCCGCGGAGGGGGGCGCGCCGCGCACTTACCTGGCGGCGGCGGCGGCGCGGGACAGCGGCCTGGGACGTGCGCGCGCGAGGACAGAGCGGCGGCGAAAGGAAGGGGCGCGGCCTCGGCAACGCCTTCTTCCCGCCACCCCTCAACAACGAGCGCTGCCATTGGGCCGGAGCGGCGGGCAGCGCGCAGGCCAATGGCGAGCAGCGCGTGCGGCCGCCGCCAGCGCGGCCGGTGGCGCATGCGCAGGACCGAGGCTGCCCATGCTGGGCGTGTTGTGCGGCCTTGGGGTTTGTGCTGGGATGGTGGAGATTCCGCAAATCACGGGGTCACAGAGTGAAGGGCATTGGAAAACACCTCTGCGATAATCGCATCACACCTCTGACCTAATACCACTCTGTCAACTAGAACATGGCACTGAGTGCCGCATTCTATCTTTCCTTGGACACCTGCAGGAACAGTGACTGCGCCGCCAGCCCGGCGCCGTCTGTTCCAATGTCTGATCACTCTTTCTGTGGAGAAATTATTCCTGATGTTCAACCTAAACCTCCCCTGCCACAGCTTAATACTGTTCTCCACCTCTGGAATCCTGCCCTGGCCTGGCCTGGTAGGGTCAGCACAGTCCCCTCCATTTGTCCCATGAGCTGGGTTCTGCCTCCACGTGCACCCAAGGCAGATCCACACACAGAGCCCTCAAATAAATATTTGTTTATTTTGTATCAGTGCAGAGATGGGCAGTGGGTGATGAATCCAGAAAGCCAGTGTCTGGCCTTGTTGCGTTTCTTCATGGAAAGGGTGGTCAGGTAAAAGCTCCCCGGGAGGTGGTGGAACCATTGTCCCTGGAGGTGTTCTGGGAACAACAGGACATACCAGTTAGCTTTGCTCTAGTTGTCACAGTGGTGTTTGGTTGGTGGTGGAACTTGATGATCTTGGAGTGGCCAGCAGGATTAGGGAAGTGATCATCCCTCACTGTGGGATGTGGCACAAGTGGGGCCACACCGCAAGCCCTGTGTCCAGTTCTGAGCCCCTCACTCCAATACAGACATTGAGGTGCTGGAATGTGTCCAGAGAAGGGCAATGGAGCTGGGGATGTTTAGGAGGCTCAGGGGTGACCTTAGCACTCTGTACAACCACCTGAAAGGAGGCTGTAGAAAGGCAGGGGTTGGCCTCTTCTCCCAGGCAATTAGTACAGGACAAGATGATATAGCCTCAAACCGTGTCAGGGAAGGTTCAGCTTATACATTTGGAAGAATTTCTTCACAGAAAGGGAGTTTAGACATTGGAATGGACTGCCCAGGGCAAAGTGGAGTCACTCTCCCTAGAGCTGTTTAAGGAAAGACTGGATGTGGTAGGTACTTAGTGCCATGGTCTATTGGCCGTGGGTTGGACTGAATGACCTTGGAGGTCTTTTCCAATCTGAATGAAATATTTGTGAAATACCTCAACTCCATGTGTAGATTGGCTTCTTCCACACTGGGTGACAGAATACACTTGTGGGACAGCACACTGAGGCAAGGCTCCACAGGAGGGACAGGGCTGCTCTCCTGTGCTGGGAGGCTGGGAGCTGGTAATTCTGTGGCAAGGTCTTGCCATGGGATATGGGAGTCACCACCTGTGCTTGTTCACTTGATTTCCTGCACTGGGGAAAGGAATAGAAGTAAAAAGTTAACACTGTGCTGAAACCCATTGGACCCAAACAAACCAGGAGTGCTGGTTCAGCAGCAGGGCTGTGTATGGGCTGTGGCTGTCCCTGCCTTGCTGCCCTGGGGGTGCCCCAGAGATCCCCAGTGTGGTGGGGTTTCTGTGGTAGCTCAGGTGCTCTCAGAAAACGACCAGGCTCAGGGTGTTATAACCGAGCCAGAGCTTGGAGCAGTAGTCAGTGGTTGTTGTCTACAACCTGTGGGAAGAAAAATTTCCCTCAGGGCCATGTGCAGCTTGCATCCAGAGTCCCAGAATCAGTAAATTGGGAAAGACTTCTGAGATCATCAGAAGTCTTTTGATCCAACCTATGACCAAACACCACCCTGTCAACTAGACCATGACAGTGAGCGCCATGTCCAGTCTTTCCTTAAACACTTCCAGAGACGGTGACTCCTCCACTTCCCTGGGCATCTCATTCCAATGCCTGACCACCCTTTCTGTGAAGCAATTCTTCCTGACGTCCAGCCTGAACCTGGACATCAGCTGGAGAGCATGTCCTCTTGTCCTGTCACTTGTTGCTTGGGAGAAGAAGCTGACCCCCACCTGGCTACAAACCTCCCTTCAGGGCAGCCCCAGCCCTGCGCCCTCTTAGGCTCGCAGCCCCTGCTCCATTTCCCTCCCTGGATTTGTATGGAATGGGCACAGCACCCGGAGCTGCCCGTGCCTCCCGCTCCCTTGGAGCCCAGGGGAGCCGAACCGGGACCGGCTGCGGTGCCAGGGCCGTGGCCGTGTGGGGAAAATCTCCCTTCGTGCCCTTGCTGTGGCAGCAGGACGCCTGGATACTGTTACCCATGCCATCCGGCCCGTGTCCCGCT